TTGAAGACAGTAAATAGCAGTGAAATCAAACCACCTGTGAACAAGTAAACAAAGGAGATTCATAGACACTTTGAGAAACAGAAACACAGATCAACAATAACTATTTCTTAAAGTGTTCAGTATCCCTAGTCATTGAGAAATTCAATGTAAAACTGCTTTGAGATACCACCTCCCCCAGTCAGCATGGCTGCCATAAACAAGTCTGACAGTGAATGTTCAAGAGAATGTGGAGGGGAGGAACACTTACTCACTTTAGAGTACATAAGTGAATTCAAACCATGTAGAAATCAGTCTAGAAATTTAGCTAACAAACAAACAAACAAACATATAACTAAAATGTTATCCAGCTCTTTTACACCTGGGCAAATATAAAGATATTTGCATCCCATATTTATTACAGCTTCATTAGCTATAGCAAGAACCTGGAATGAGCATAGTCTAAGACATGAATGGACTATGAAATTCTGGAACACACACATAGATAAACACACCCACTTACAAATACTATTTAGCTTAAAAGTGTTTTATATGCATGTTGTAATAAAAAGTATTTTAAGTTACCCTCCAATATTATTTAGCTTAAAAGAAGAATGAATTTTAGAAACTTACAAGAAAATGCCTGGACTTAGAATGTAATAAGTACATTCACACCCTCATGTTTTTTCTCATGTATAAAATCTAGACAGCAGAAAGTGAATTTACATAAACAATCATACACGTAAGTACAGTGTAGCATGAAGAAAAGAGAACAGGAAAGGCTGATATAAGGGGAGGTGAGAAGCCTTAATGCAGGTATTGGCATGAGGTATGAAACAGGAAAAAAGACTAAAAGTTTTCTAGTCTATTTCGGTCATAAAATTTTGGTCTGGATGGTGACTAAGCACATAAAATACATTTGGTATTGAAAGTGTAAAATCTGTTGTGAAACTCCACAGCTTTGACTCAAGATGCCCACTCTGACTGTATAGGAGTTCCTTGAGTTTGTGTCTTATCAAATAAAAAAGCAAGCTGCTTTTCACTCACAAGCAATTCATTTGGATGAGCAGGTGTGTAGCACCTGACCACGGTGTTATTTAGTCTGTTCTTCTGTTAGTTATGTTGGTGCCACCCCCCAAAGAGTTACATTTTAAAAGTCTGGTTTCTTCTATACACATTTATGTTCATATTTATGTGCACATTTATGTATACAACCAGGAAGTGTTTGACCGTGGAAGTTCTAATTGATTGTTTGTTGTCAAGCCAGAGTTCTCTGTGTAGCTCTGTCTATCCTGTAACTTACTATGTAGACCAGGCTCCTCTTAAACTAAGAAATCTGCCTGCCTCTGCCTTCAAGTTCTGGGATTAAAGGTCTGAGCCACCATGCCCTTCAACGTGCAGTTTCTTTGTTTGTTTTTTTTTTAATAATTTTTTTTTATTTTTAAATTTTATTTTATGGGCACTAGTATGAAAGTGTCAGATCCCTTGGAAGTGGCATTAAAGACAGTTTTCAGCTGCCATGTGGGTGCTGGGAATTGAACCAGGTCCTTTGGAAGAGCAGGCAGTGCTCTTAAGCACTGAGCCATCTCTCTAGCCCCAAGGGACATTTCTTATTATTCCTTCTTGTCTTCTTATAACTAGGGACTAGACAGAGTATGTGCATCTTCCCTAAGCAGAAATAAGGCTCACTTTTCTTTGCTTGAGGCAGGACTATACAGCTCTTCCCCTTTATTCCTGTAACTATCCTCAAACTCTTCCTCCTCTTGGGAAGCTCTAATAATGACTGTTTGTACTAAGATCCAGGGTGAGAACGTCACCCCACCTTAAACAGGTTTCCAGAGCATTAAGGCCTTCACAGTGCTGAATGCCACAAGAATTCTGCAGACAATGTCATAGCATACTTTCACCACACATTCAGGTTTCTCAGGAGTGGGCCATGTAGATAGAGTGGGGCCTTCATCTCTATAGTGCTATCTCTCTAAAATGATTTCTATCACTGCTGGAAGGAACATTGTATAGTTTCTAATGCCCTTTGTATCTGGGCACATTCCACAATCATAGTTAAGTCCTCCTCTACCTACTCAGTTTTTAGTTTAGTCTTTTCTTCCCTGTACACTTTTCCCTTCCTTCCCTACTCCCATTTTCTTACTTCTCCCCAGTTCTACTCTCTTCTCCTGAACCACAACATCTTCTCTCAGTTGCCCACATCACGGGAGAGCTGCTTTACAAGCCATCTGGTTTATTCCCCAGACTCTCTAGCTGTGCATGCATGTCATCTGCATTCTGATCCTTCATAATGCAAACAACTAGTCGGCAATCTGGATGTCCAACATGGAACAAAGTAGCAAAACATTACATGTATATTTTTACATTTCCTACTTTTTGAAATGTCCCCATAATGTTTGTGTGCTTTTTTAAAAATTTTTTATTTAATCATCAAAATGGATCTTTTTTCCTTTTTTTATTAATTATACTTTATTCACATTGTATCCCCCCTGTAATGCCTTCCCCACTCCCCTCCCAATCTCTCTCTTCCTTCTCCTTCTATACGTATGCCCCTCCCAAAGTCCACTAATAGGGAGGTCTTCTTTTCCTTCCTTCTGATCCTAGTCAAATAGGTCTTATCAGGAGTGTCTGCATTGTCTTCCTCTGTGGCTTGGTAAAGTTGTTCCCCCATCAGGGGAAGGTGATCTAAGAGCAGGCCATTCAGTTCATGTCAGAGGCAGTCCCTGTTCCCATTACTAGGGCACCCACTTGGACACTTATCTGCCATGGGCTACATCTGTGCAGGAGTTCTATGTTTTCTCCATGCATGGTAATTACTTGGAGTATCAGTCTCAGAAAAGACCCCTGTGCTCAGATTTTTTGGTTCTGATGCTCTCTTTATGGAGCTTCTGTCCTCTCCAGATCTTACTATTCCCACTTCTTTCATAAGATTCCCTACACTCTGCTCAATGGTTGGCCATAAATCTCAGCATCTGCTTTGATAGCCTTCAGGGCAGAGCCTTTCAAAGGCCCTCTGTGGTAGGCTCCTGACTTATTCCCTCTTTCTCCTCCTTCGGATGTCCATCCTCTTTACCTTTAAGGATAGGGATTGAGCATTTTAGCCAGAGTACTCCTCTTGATTAGTTTCTTTAGGTGTACAGTTTTTAGTAGGTTTATCCTATATTATATGTCTATATGAGTGAATATGTACCATGTGTCTATTTCTGCTTCTGGGACAGCTCACTCAGGATGACCTTTTCCAGATCCTCCCATTTACCTGCAAATGTCATGCCTTCCTTGTTTTTTATTGCTGAGTAACATTCCATTGTGTAGAGATACCACAATTTCTGTATCCATTTCTCCGTTGAGGGTCATCTGGGTTGTTTCCAGCTTCTGGGTATTACAAATAAATCTGCTACAAACATGGTTGAGCAAATGTCCTTATTGTGTACTTGAGCATCTTTTGGATATATGCCTAGGAGTGGTATAGCATATTTTGAGGAAGCAGTATTCCTAGTTGCCTGAGAAAGCAGCAGATTGATTTCCAGAGTGGTTGTACAAGTTTACATTCCCACATGCAGTGGAGGAGGGTTCGCCTTTTTCTACAAATCTCCAGAATGTGTTCTCTAAATGGATCTTAAGTACTATTCAAGGCAAAGTTCTACTGTCTATGCATAATGCCCTGTGAGAGCTCATTTATATCCCAACTAGACCACGGAGTCATCTTACTGCATCCTTTGTTCTATTCCCACAGAAAGCAGGTCTCCATGTTTTCCTGTTCCACCTCCATGCTCATCCTAAATTGATCATTTTCTTTTTTCTTCACTGTAATGATTGTAGCAGAAGTCATGTTTTCATGTAATTAATGACATGTTTTAGCTAACTTAATTCCTCTCTTGACATAATTGCTGCAATTTATGTAGTACTTTCTTTGCTCATTTTATGACAAACTTATGATATATAGAGAGATATGGAAGACATGTCAGAAAAGAGAAAAATGTAAAAAATAATATATAAATATTTAATATTACATAAATGGAAATTTGTGAGAAACTGAAATATTGTGAGGAAAAAAATGAGTGAGTAGTCCATCTATCCTAGGTAGTCATTTTCGTTTTGTTAGTAAAATAAACCAGAGGATGAGTAAAAGTATACTCTGTTTGGATTTTGAAATGCTTCCTTTCCCACTGTCATTTAATTATTTCTAAAATGTGAAGGACTTAAGTATGATCACTACTTTCCTTCTGATGTGAACTTAGGCATTTTATAGATAAAAATCGTAATAATGCAGGATTTGCTGTTTTCTTTGGCTCTTTCACTGGGCATTCTTTGTCTATCTTAAATATTCCAGTACCATGCTCTGAAGAGATATACAGATAAAGGATAGTTCATGGGATGAGAAAGTTCTGTTATATTTTTGTTTGCATTGAATGTATATTTTAGCATTTATATGTATCTAGATCTGACACTAACATTTCACTATAGACCATAGTTGGGTCTTCTACAGAGTTGGGCAAATCAGGCTTTATCCTCATGAGAACATGATGCTCTCATCTAAACAGTCACTTGAATAAAGCACTATTGTTCTGCTTAGCAGCTGGAGAGTGCAACTTGTGGATATAAATTCTCATCTTTATGCCTTAGTGACATAAATAACTGTCAAAGACAGGAACTTCTGAATAACTTACAACTTCTTGAAACAGAGGCTTCTCCATATTACAGATACATTTGGCAATATAGAGTCAGTAATGTCATAATGGAGGGAAAAATGAAAATATGCAAGAGACTCTTTGTCAGAGATGATGCTAAATACTTCACACATGTAAGGAACCTTCTGAAAAAAAAAGTCAGTTGTAATGCGCTCCAAAATTCCTGTTTTCAACCATTTGCACTCCATGGATTGAACACAAATGTGTAAAGAAGTCAGTTATGCAAATGATGTGGGAAGTAGAATCTTGAAGTGGAATCTAGAGGAAATTATGGCTTAACAACACCAAGAGCAGTACTTTTAAAGGAGACATGAAATTTCAAGAGTCCTTTTAACAAGAGATTTCACAGCTGGTGCTTTGGGGAGTTTTTGTCTCACTTTCTCTATGGTTCACATCACTGTGACTATAGCCACTAGATTGACAGAAATAGTCAGCCTCATCCTCTGCCTGCAGGTTACTGATCGTCAGGGAAGCTGAGTTGGAGGAGCTGTCAATGGAGCCAGAGAACCGATCAGGAATCCCGGATGGTCTCTTATCATCATTATATATCACAAGAGTGGGAGATCTTCCAAAGTGCTGCTGGTACCAGTACACATAGCTGTTTCCAATGTTACCACTGCTGCGCTTGCAGGGGAGGCTGATTGTGCTTCCTGGGGACCCTGACACAGAGTTTGGCTGAGTCAGTTGAAACTGGCCCCATGACCCTGTAAGGAGAAAATAATAAAAGTCAGTAACACCATTCACAGACCAGCCTATGCACCAAACATCCCAAGCAAGAGGCAGTTACTCTCCCAGAACTCCTTCAGTCAACTCACCTGCTAAGTAATAAAGAAAGACAAGGAGTAGTGGAGCCAGAGTCATTGTGAAAACACTCAGATTCAGCTTCCTGAGTCCAGTGCACAAGATAAACCTCAACACCCCTTCTTATTTGTTTCTGGGATTCCAGGTGCATGCTGGCTGTATGCAAATACCTCTCTTTTGGTGATGTTCAAGCCCCTCCTTTTATTTCAGACTGTGTCTGATTGACAAATGGAGAGACTGCTTATGAAGATGTGGACTTAACCAAGGGGCAGACGGAAAACCTGAAAATTAAGGGAAAACAGGAGAGGAGTGGGCGTTTGACCATGAGAATGCAATGCAACCATGTCTTGTTTCCTAGTATGTGACTGCTAGGTTCCTAACTGCCAGCAATGAGACCTTTTGAGACCCACATGCCCACTATCTGGAGTCTGAGTGGAACATACATTGTCCCTTAATATAATTCTATCAATGTCAACTAAACTGGGTAACCCAGTTTACATTTGCAGAGAGAATCAGTGCCTGGTTTGAGAAGAACTGTCTTCTTTTACTTGAAATGTCCTGTGGTTATAATTGTGGCCATTTCTAGGTAAGAATTTATTAGAAGGTTGTAGATAAGAATTTATCTCTGTAGATAAGATTACTTCCTGTTCCTGCACAGTATGTGAGTTTGGTTTTCAACACCCATGTCAGAAATACAAAAACCTCCTCTAAGGGATTGGATGTCCTATTTTGGCCTCCTCAGATATCCAGACTCATTTGATTGCATGAACACACACACATGTGCTCACACACACACACACACACACACACACACACACACACACAGTATATATGTGGTGGAAGAATGAAGCAATGGAGAAGACATTCAATTGTATATTCTGAGACTAGCTTATTATAATTGAAAATACATTTTGAGTGATTTTTCTATGCTATGTAGCTATTGTCCAAAAAGTTATGAAATTATTTTGTTACTAGAAATATTTTCCTGGACAATGTCTTTATTAAAGCGAAGGATAAAGTATAAAGCAGAACTGTGAGTTTACTTTTCATGTGGCCAATGGGACCTAGGAACAGAAAGGTTCCCAACAGAGCTCTTGGGTAATAGTCATCAATGGCATCACTACCTGCACAATGTGGGACAGGAAGTAGTGATTTCTGAATGACTTGGTCTTGCAGCAGCTTTGTCTTCTCAAGAGCAACCCATCACTGCCCTCTAATGGGCATAAGCATTTCCATGAGACTCACTGGGGAGTGAAACTTTTTCTTCCAGGGAAGCAATTGAAAGGGTTTTAAAGGAACATGGGTAGGCAAGGAAAACAAATACAGGTGTCTTGAGATGGTCTCTTCTTGTTGCTAGAATATTTTTTTGAGACAAATAGCCATAAGGCACAAGAGTACATTTTAACACACAACTAATAGGGAGAAGAGGAGGAACCTGGAGCCCAATAAATTACCAGGCCAACATCTAGCATTCTTTTTAACAGACTTCCTCTCTTCCTCCATTGTGAATATCTCTCCCCATTACTTATTCTTTTATATTTCCTAATCATTCAGTTTTGTGTTTTTTGTTTGTTTTTTTTTCCCTCACAGCAGAAAATAACTTGGCAATTCCCTACAATTTTCCAACATTCCAGTCACATTTTTGGGGGTCTCTTATTTAGGATTAGGCATGACCTCCCCTGAAGCTGATATGCCTAACTGAAAATCACAAAGAAGAACGTAGAATTAGTCATGACACAAGAGGCACTCAGAGGCTAACTACCACATTGAGTGACACTTCTCCCCAACTACATGTTTGGATTCTCAGTCAGCTCTCACCTCCACTGGTTGTTGGAGAGTAAGTGCCTGGGCTCTGAATGAGTTTAGTATAAGGTGGTTTTATCCTTGAGAACCTGGACAAAGTCTTGAGTAGCCACTCTTCAGCAAAGACACATGGTAAATAGCACTCCCAAGGAGCTGATAAGCTTGGAAGGAGATAGATTGGGAGATGTATATTTTCTCCTCAATGGCTGGCTTTCCAATTTGCTGCAATCTGTAAGGAGGTGGACTAGCTCTCCTCCCCTAACTCCAAATGGCCTGGCTCACTGTACCTCAACATCAAAGCCAAATCCACAGTGCTGCCCAGGAAAGGCACAGGTTCCACTCTCTAACATGCTACAGCCAGTGAGGTACAGGGCCAGCTCACCTACTTTCCTGCTCTTTGGGTCAGCTCTCACAACTGCCTCAGTTGACAAGATCTGAGAAGATGGAGGCTACCTCCTCAGGCTACCTCATAGCAGAGGGGTAGAGGGGCCAACTCTCTCTTGGGGCCAGCCCACTCATAATGCTGTCACCAGGGTCAGTTCACTTGTGCTGCTCAGGGGAGGTTCAGTGCCTGCTCTCTTGAGTGTTGCACATGGCAACGGACAGGGCCAGCTCTCCCACTATGATCATCACAGGGCCAACTCTCCTGACTGCTGTAAGTGGCAAGATGGCAGGCCTCACCTCTGTGGTCATGTCAACCCATGGAAGATGAGTTGTGAGTTTAGCTCTCCCAGACTCACAATCTTCAGGCAGCTCACAAATCCTCTACCATCAGGGTCAGCTCCACTGTGCTGTCTGGGTAAAGAGCAGGTCCACTCCCCTGAGAGCTATTCCTAGTGAGAGATAAGATCATCTCTCCAGAACACCATGTCCACTATGGCTCAGGGCCAGTTATGCACAGCTTGTGGGATCTTGGTATTACAAACAGACTGCTGGGCTAATAGGATAAAATAGAGGAACCATAAATAAAATGGCAAAAACATGTCCACTTAATTTTCACAAACAAAAATATACTTGAAGTGAAAATAGACATTTCAACAAATGATGCTGGCAAAACTGGACATGTACTCAAAAAAGATGAAATTTGATTCATATCTTTTACCTTGTAAGTAAATCAATTTAAAATATATCAAAGACTTAAATTTATTCCATAAAACACAAAAATTGCAAAGAAAGCCCAGGAGATGTCCTTGAAAATAAAGGAGTAGGCATACAATTTTATATAGAACATCAACAGCACATGAGCTAATAGCAGCTTCCACCAGATGGATACATAAAAATAATATTATCTCTGTGACAAGGGAAAGAGTCAGCAAAGTAAACAACCCAAAGACTGGGAGATCAATTCCTATGATCTGTTGTTCAGCAGGGATAATACTCAAGAGTTTACAGTGAATTGAAGACAGTAAATAGCAGGAAATCAACCACCTGTGAGCAAGTAAACAAAGGAGATGCATAGACACTTTGAGAAACAGAAACACAGATCAACAATAACTATTTCTTAAAATGTTCAGTATCCCTAGTCATTGGAGAAATTCAATGTAGAACTGCTTTGAGATACCCTTTTCCCCCAGTCAGCATGGCTGCCATAAACAAGTCTGACAGTGAATGTTCAAGGGAATGTGGAGGGAAGGGAACACTTACTTTAGAGTACATAAGTGAATTCAGACCTTGTAGAAATCTGTCTAGAGAATTAGCAAATAATAATAACAATAACAATAATAATGATAATAGAAATAGAATTACAATGTTACCCAGATCTTTCTCTCCTGGCCAAATATTCAAAGAAATCCACACCCTACCTTAAAGGTATTTGCATCCCATGTTTATTACAGCTTCATTAATTATAGCAAAAACTTAGAATCAACATGGTCCAATGTATGAATGGGCTGTGAAATTCTGGAACAAACACACATACATAAACACACTCAATTACAAATAGTATTTAGCTCAAAAATGTTTTATAAGCATGTTATAATAAAAAGTATTTCAAGTTACGCCCCCCATACTCTTTAGATTAAAATTAAAATGAAGTTTAAAAACTTGCAAGAAAATGTTTGGAGTTAGAATATATAGTAACAGGCAAATTCAAATCCTTATGTGTTTTTCTCATATACAAAATCTAACCAGGAGAATCTGAATTTACAAAAACAATCACACATGTGGGTTCAGTGTAGCATGAAGAAAAGAGAACCGGAAAGATCGAATATAAGGGGAGGTGGGAAGACTGAATGCAGACATTGTCATAAGGTATGAAAAAGCACAAAAGGCTAAAAGTTTTCTAGTCTAATTCAGTCATAAAATTTTGGTCTGGATGGTGGCTAAGCACATAAAATACATTTGGTATTGAAAGTGTAAAATCTATTGTGAAACTCCACAGCTTTGATTCAAGATGCCTACTGTGACTGTATAGGAGTTTCTTGAGATTTTGTCTTATCAAATAAGAAAGCAAGCTGCCTTTCACTCACAAGAATTTCATTGGGATGAGCAGGTATGTAGAGCCTGACAGGGTGTTATTTAGTCTTTTCTTCTGTTATTTAGGTTGATGCCACCCCCCCCCAAAGAGATACATTTTCAAAGTCTGGTTTCTTCTATACACATTTATGTTCATATTTATGTACATATTTATGTACACAGCCAGGAAGTGTTTGGACATGGACAGTTCTAATTGATTGTTTGTTTTCAAGCCAGAGAAAATATAAATATATAATATATAAATGTTTAAATTTCCATAAATGGAAAATTGTGAGAAACTGAAATATTGTGAGGAAAAGAGTGAATGAGTAGTCCATCTATCTAGGTAGTTGTTTTCAATTTGTTAGTAAAATAAGCCAGAGGATAAGTAAAAGTATACTCAGTTTTTGTTTTGAAATATGTTTCCTTTTTCACTGTCATTTAATTATTCCTTAAATATGAAGTACTTGAGTATGATCACTACTTTTCCTTTTGATGTGAACTTAGATGTTTTATATAATTTTATAGATATAATTCTTTAAAGTACACAATTTGCTATTTTCTTTTCCTCTCTCACTGGTCACTCTCATCAAAACAGTCACTTGAATATAATACTATTGTTTTGCTTAACAACTGGAGACAGCAA